ATGTCAATATATGTTGTGTCTCCTCTGATTTGATGACAGTCAAAATGATACCTTTAAAACTTGGTCTGGGAAGAATTTCAAGTTTAAAGGTTAATTTGAAAGTTTCTACCTCTTACTACATCTTACGTCATAATGTAGTTGGAATGACTAGGAAAACTCCTGAGTGAGATAGATAGGATATAAAAACATTTAACTTTTCCTTCCAATCTTAACTTTATTCTATACCTTTTATGCCACTAAGTAAAACTGTTCCCAACATCTTCTTGCACTATTTTATTTCCATACAATAATCACATACCTTGTTATACACAAAGTAATCTGGGATTCAAAGATGCCAGATGTGAGTTATGAGAAAAGGAGATCTCCCGTTTCCTGAGCAACATGTAGAAACTGTACATGATTCTGATAGATTATGTGAGTTAGAGATCATTCATGTTTAATTGATGGCAAATGAAATGCTTTAAAAATAGCATTATTAGCAGTCATCACATCCTGCCAAACTGCTAGAGACAGACAGTCAAATGTGACCCTGGTGATGAAATCCCAGTTGCATAGCAACACATCTCCATCTGCAGTTTTCTCCTCTGCAGAAGCAACTGGCTTTTTTTTTTTTCTTTGCTTCCCATGCAGTTTAATGTAATTAAAATGTGTCAACAGTTAAACAAAATGTAAGCATGGACCTTTAATTTTTATGTTTGTTTGGTGGACCAACAAAGCATGCAATCAGCAGTCTGGTCCTCCCTTTTCCATTAAAATCAAAGTAATTTAACTGGCTGTTAATTGTACTATAAAAACAAACCAATGTTTGACAGAAGCGTTTATCTACTATTCGAGCAACTGTGACTTTAAAATACATATCGACTGCATGAGTTATTATGACTGCATCCAACCAACAAAACAAAACACTTAAAATTACCTTTGTGCCTTTATATCCCAATAAGAAACAACAGCTGCAATTTTAAGATTTTAGTTAACAATTACAAGACTCATTAGCACAATTTGGAACAGACAATTAGCAGAATGAGAAGGGCTTTTTTTAGGTTTGGAGATAATTAGCCTAATCTGTTAAGAGACTTAAAAGTTTTAATTAAATGTAAGGCTTGCAGACATTGCGTTAGCCTCTCATACTTGCAGATTCAGTAAAAAGACTCAAACCTGTGCTAGCATCTACAGTAGAGCTATTTCTTACTAACATTATGTTGTCTGAAAATCCAAACCTAAAGCCTTTTAGGTAAGTGTCTGCAGTCTAATCAAAGCTAATTAAGTTTATTAATTAGCGCTGGGATCAAGAAATACAGTATACATTTAAAGGATGAGTTGCCAAAAAAAGAAAGAACTTTGCTTTTGTATCCAACAATACACAAATGTATTTTGCATACTGAGCAGATGTGGGTAATACAGATGTAATGTTTTATTCCAGCAAAACTAGAAATTAGTCATGAAATTAAACAGACAGACAGGGAAAGGTAGAATTTTTTATATAACTTAATAAATACTCCTTAGCTTTAGAAAAAGATTTACGTTTGTGAGTTAATTTATCATTTTTATATGTCTAAATATTTCTCCAATCTATTCATCTATTGCTGCTCTACTTTTTCAGCAGATGTGCATTATTTAAAGTGAATGTCACAGAGAACATTAGGGTTTAAGGAGAAAAAGATAAAGAAAAAGGCTCTTGCTCATTATATTCACTGTATTAAATGTAGTGAGTCTCTCTTGTTGCATTAACTATGGGGATATTCGAATTTTATTGTTTTAAAGTTGCCATTTTTTAATAAATTGCTCTATACTTTGCAGAAAGTTCAAAGCCTCTGAGTCTGAATCTGAACCAGCATGAGTCTAATTAGGGGAGATCACATGGTCGCTGCCCTTTATTCTCTGCAATGTGACACCTTGTGGGAGAACAGAACCCTGCAGGAATATGCTTCTTTTAGGTTCTTACATTAGAGCTGAATAGAGGGAGCAGCTGGTTTTTAACAAGCAAAATGTCTCTTTTTAATGCATGCCTGAACACTTGACTGGATGATATGGATGTATGTTTGAATGCACGAGGTTAGATGGCATCATACATATTGTTGACTTGTGTTTTGAAACAGCTTTAAAAGTTATTTAGCCCAAATATGACAAAGGCAAAAAAAACTAACAAAAATATTTTAAAGATAGTTAAGATAGCAATGGCTTTAAAATGTTTTCACATCTCTTTGGTTTAAAAAAATAGAATACAATTGTTTGGTGGAGGAATTGCTTTTCATTTTTCACATTACACATAAACAAAATCTATCTATCTATCTATCTATCTATCTATCTATCTATCTATCTATCTATCTATCTATCTATCTATCTATCTATCTATCTATCTATCTATCTATCTATCTATCTATCTATCTATCTATCTATCTATCTATCTATCTATCTGCAGAATGTGGTTTACTACCTTCCAATGATACAATATCGCCATCAAGTGAAATATAAATGGAATTGCTCATATTTGGTCCACTACATTAAGCCCTTGGCCCATTTATGCATACACTCAAACAGATATATTAATCTGGTGACATGTTTTTTTCTTTTAGGTTTTGTGCATTGTTCAGTATTTCTTGTGATTATAAAGTACAAATATAGTGGGGGAGTGTTGACATAGTGGTTATAGCAGTTTCCTTGTAATTCTGAGAAGGTTGCAAGTTTCTGGTTCAATCCCCCAATCGGCACTCTAAGTCTCTGAGCAAGACCCTTAACCCCACGTTGCTCCCTGGGTGACAAACAGTGGCAGCCCACTGCTCCCAAAGGGGATGGGTTGAAGGCTGTTAATTTCTCCATCTTGAGATAAATAAATCTCTATTATATATATATATATATATATATATATATATATATATATATATATATATATATATATATATATATATATATATATATATATATATATATATATTAATAGAGTACACAAGAATATAGTTTTAATTAAACTGTAATGTAAATCAATCAATTATAACTCTGCTCATTTTATATATATAAAAGAAATGTACATCAAATATTTCCTTGTATTTCATGTTCACAGAATTCTGAGAAAATTGTAATTGGGTAAAAAAGCTTCACCGGTAATGGAGACGGTAGATGCTGATGCTTATTATTTAGACATCAGGATAGAAAACAACTTCAATCTTATTTTACTTGTTTGTGCAGGTTGTTGGTGTGGGAGGGTGCTGATCTAGATCAACGATTAGACATGAGTCCAGAGTAATACAGTTTGGCAAAAAAAAAAAAAAAAAACAATATATAAATAAAACATTCAATTATCTGTAAAAACGTATGAAATTAACACATCCTCAGATATATAAATATATATATATAGGCATATGTATAAATGTCAAAAGACACATATTTATGTTTTAAAAGTTTTCTTATACAAATGATAATATATTTTCAGTACTTTCAATGTACATGATTGTTTATAAAATTGCAGCTGGGACTTGACATTGAATGTGCCTGAGTCAGCAGCTGACAGTGGCTCCTGGTCAGAGAAAGTCAGAGACTCTTTTCTGAAAAAGGTGACCGAACAAGGATTTATGATTACCTATGGCCTGTCTTTGCCCTCATCATGGTTGTTGGGAAATAACTTTAGACAATTAATAATTTGCCTTCATACGTGAGAAAATGCCACTTAAGGATTGTCATACAGAGGACTGTTTAAAAACAAACAAACAAAGCTGAAGTAATGCTGTATGGAAAAGTCAAGAACAAGTCATATGACTTTTTGTTTTATAGGAGGGGGTTAAAAACGAGGTTCTAGGAGATTAAGGTATAAAAGAAGATGAACCACTTCAACATTGGAATACTGTTCCTGTACACTTAAAACATCACATCCAGTTAGTGACAGTAAGACACACTACGCATGCGCAAATTATATTAGTACGTCCATGGTTATATCCCCAACATGAGACTTATTAAAATAATTAAAAAAAATGAAGTAGGGGTGAAATCAAATATATACCTAAGAAATACATTTTCAATTAATAAGTACCTTAAAATATATTCAGATGGTTCTAAGAATAACAAAGGTGAAAGGAAAATTTGTTATATAAAGAGTAAAGAAACAGAAATATGGCAAAAAAAGAAAAAGAAGATGGGATAAAGATGAGAAAGGAAGTTACCTATATAAAATAAAGAAATAAATATTATTTAAAATATTCAAGAGAAAAATAGAAGGGAGGCAATAATAATGACTAGATTAAAGAAAATGTAGAACATGTTCTGCTGAATTGTAAACTATATGAATCAGAAAGGATGAGATTAAGGACAATTGTAGAGAGGGCAGGAGAGACATGGAGTCTTTAAGGATTATTGGGAGGCTTAAAGGAAATTTATTTAGTAAGAAGAGCTCGTTTATTTTTCTTCATAACACAAAATAAAAAATTAGAATGTACAGTAGAGGGTGTGAGTCTATGTCACTACACACTCATGTTAAGTTGCTTGCGATCCCCCATAAAAAAAGAAGAAGAATTACATTAGAATGGCAAAAAAAGGCGGATGAATTACCAAAAAAGGCTTTAGAGGGAATAATAACCATTACAATTCCTATTGGGAAAGGGGAAGGTAAAGCACTTATTAAGAGTAAAGAAATGGAAAAATGGCTAAAGAGGTGGAATGAAGATAAGAAAGGAAGAGGATTATATAAAGTACAAAAAATTTGTATTAAATAGAGTCATTAATGACAGAAACAGAAGGGAACAAGTAATAATCATCAGATTAAGAGTGGGCCATACCTATTTAAATGGCAATTTTTAATTATTTATAGGGGGTAAAAATAATGATAAAAATGAAGGGAATATAAAGGATATTCACAGATTAAGGAAAGTATAATTTATTTATCTACAGAATACAAAATAAAAAAATAGAATTTGATGTAAGGTAATGTTGCTACACACTCATGTACAGTAGGTGGCGGTATGCACCTTAAAGTCGCTTGTGATCCGCCATAATAGAAAAGAAGAAGACTTACGTCAGAACCCGGGAAAATAAAACGTCAACAACAGCTTCAGGGCGGCTGATTTGAACTTTTACTTGTTAAAAAATACTTGTGGTTCTAAACTTGGGTAAGCAGGATGGTGGAGGGTCCAGGCTGCACCTTAAACGGAGAGAAAATCCGCTCGAAAGTCCAAACGGGTCAGAAGGTGAAGGAAGTGAAGGGCACTTTGACTTCTTCAGCTGTAAGTAAACAGTAGTCGTAGTTTTCTGACTGAAGAAAGAATGCCCAGTCTTATACATTTATACATGTATAACATTCTCTTTTCATTTGCTATCCTTGTATTCTCCGAGATATTTTTATTCATTTTTAGATTTACTAGTAAAATGTATTTGTATGTTTCAATATCAGTGTAAATGTAACAGAAACAGATGTTTCTCTGCCATTAATCCAGCTGTTTTTTTTTTCTCTTTATAGAAAAGCAACACGGAAACAAACGTCTTCCACAGTTTCTCTGGATGTCAGTTCACTGGTGTTGAAACTCTTGGGAAGGAGCTTTTCATGTACTTTGGTGTGAGAGCTTTAAGGTAATGAAGAGAAATATTTAAACTCCTGGAACTTTGATGTTTTGATATATTACAACCATAACCTGAGAACTGGTATAAACCGGAATCTGTCAACAGACGTAGACGGATCAGCACTCAGTGCTGTGATTGTTTTACTTTTTCAGACAACCTTAATATTATTAATCCTGACAATATTGAATAATATTCATTTTTAATAAAGAAATGAACTAAACTATATAGAATGAACCTGATCTGATCAAAGAAAAGTTCTGCAACCTTCAAAAACATCTGTAATTATGCTTTGTGACTAAATGACACAAAATGTGTGTGGGAACAGCAACAGAATGACTAAGGAACACAGCAGACAGGTCAGTTTAAAGTCTTGGATTTTTAAACAACCTCTCTCTAAACTTTGAACTTCTTATAAATGAAAAGACTCCAAACCTACCAAGAAGTGATGATCCATCTTAGCTCACAGGCTGAACAAGTAGAGCTTAATCAGAGCGGGACCGCTGTAACTCTGGAGGAGTTGCAGATATCCACAGCTCTGCTTGGAAAATCTTGACTGTAATTCATGCACTGTATAAAATCTGGCCTTATATGCAAAAGTGAAAGCAAGAAATCCAGAAAATGCCACAAGCTTCTTTGGGGAACAGCAACTGCTTAGAAGAAGTTTGGCCTACAGGCAGAATGCTGTGACAGGCAGAAAACGAAAACTCAACCTAAACATCGAGAAATGCTGGGTATGCCTCAGTACATTAATCCTGGGGGGAAAAATATCGGCACTCAAAAAAAGTGTACAACTCAAATTTTTATATTTATGGTATTTTATTACATAACAATTTCCTGTTTACTATTTTAGATAAATGTAACAAACCTATTAAATTACCTTAGGGGTTGCATATTCAATTCAGTTCAGTTTATTTATATAGCACAAATTCACAACACATGCCATCTCAAGGCACTTTACAGAGACAACACAGTCAGATTGGTTAAAACTTTCTGTCAAGGAAACCAGTTGATTGCATCCAGTTGTTGACTTGCAAGATATGTGTGATGGACCGAGTTAAAAAAACAGGAGGAGTCACAGGATATTAATTAGAAAAATAGGGTTTTTTATTTTAACCCAAAAAATAGATGACAAAAGATAAACTGAGCTCATAAAAGAGGTCAAAGAAACAAAACTGAACTCAGGCAAAAATGTAAACAAACTGGCTGTACAAACAAACATAACTGACCTACAAAGAAATGACAGACAGGGGTATATATACTGGCTGATCAGACCAATTTAGACACAATAGGGGTAACTAAACAGAATACAATTACAAACAAAACAAATAACAGTACAGCTAAGTTTGACTAAACTAAAGACTCACAAAATGAAAATCAAAACCATTAAAGTCCAAATACCAATATTCACCTAAATGCAAAAACTCATCTAAAGAAGGAAACTACACATTCCCCCGCCAGCAAGGACCAGTGGTGCAGTCCAATCAGCATCCAAATTTGCTGAGCCCTGGCCCCCCCATCTTTTGTCAGCTTCAGAGTGTGGCCATGGATTTGGCCATCACACACTCCCCCACTTCCTGATCTTCCCTCTGGCTCCGAGAAAGGTAATCAGCAGTGGTGTTGTCCTTGCCGGGGATGTAGTGAACCTTAAACCGAAATGGCTGCATAGCAAGGTACCATCTGGTGATTCTCCCATTAGTGTCCTTCATTCTTTCCAGCCACTGGAGGGCTCTGTGATCAGTCTGAAGTGTGAATTCTCTTCCTAGCAAATAATATTTGAATGAGTCAAGGGCCCATTTAATAGCCAAGGCTTCCTTCTCCACGGTTGCATAGCGCCCCTCTCTTGGCAGCAGCTTGCGGCTGATGTAGGCAACTGGATGTTGGTCCTCCGGTGGTCCCTGCAGAAGCACTGCCCCAAGGCCTCTTTCAGAAGCATCAGTCTGCAACACAAAGTCTTTTGCAAAATCAGGTGAGTGCAAAACTGGATTCTTACTCAGAGATTGGCTAATGTCCTTAAATGCTGCAATAGCCTCTGCTGTCCACTGAATTTTAGTGGGACTTCTGGAGCCCGTCCTGTCTGTTAGGAATGCTGCTCTAGCTGAAAAATTAGGAATGAATCTGTGGTAGAATGCAGCCATGCCAAGAAAAGACCGCAGCTGTTTCCTGGTTTGTGGGAGCGGACAGGATGCTATCGCATTGATTTTATCAACTTGAGGTTTCAGAGTACCACCTCCAATGGTGTACCCCAAGTACTGTATTTCTGTCCTGGCAAGAGCACACTTTGCTGGATTGATGGTAAGGCCTGCTAAACGCAGCCGATCCAGGACCTCCTTTAGATGGTGAACATGCTCTTCCCAAGTTGCACTGAAAACCACAACATCATCAAGGTATGCACAGGTGAATGCTGAGAGCCCAGAGAGTACCTGATCCATTAGTCTTTGAAATGTTGCTGGGGCCCCATGGAGACCGAATGGCAGGACTGTGAACTCGAACAATCCCCAGGGGGTGCGAAACGCTGTCAGCTCCTGGGACTGTTTAGTGAGAGGCACCTGCCAGTACCCCTTAGACAGATCAATAGTTGTTAAGTATCTTGCTGCCCCCAGGTGCTCAATGAGGTCATCAATACGTGGCATTGGGTAAGAGTCAAATTTTGATATAGAGTTGAGGTACCTGAAGTCAATGCAAAATCTTATTTTGCCATCCTTTTTCGGAACCAACACAACAGGGTTGCACCACTCACTTGTTGAAGGTTGGATGATTCCTAGAGACAGCATGAGGTCCATCTCCTCCTTCAGCTCCACCCGGAAGCGTTCGGGTATCCTGTAACTCATACGCTTTATGGCAGCATCTGGTTTTAAAACAATGCTGTGCTCCACCAGAGTGGTGCGACCTGGACACTCTTGAAATATGTCAGAAGTAATAAGAGGTGTTACCTGAGACTGTTGCTCGCTGGTGAGATGGCTTAGGTCCAGCACAGAGGATGTTACTGAGGGCAAATAGTCATTAACTTCTTCCTCCTCCTCCACTCTGTGAATAAGCAACACCTCAGTTTCATTCTCCTTCCTTGGAACCCACTCCTTGAGAAGGTTAACATTGAGCACTCGACTCCCTCGCTGGAGACCTGGTGTAGAGACTTGATAGGTAGTAGGTCCAGTTTTCCTCAGTACTTCAAAGGGTCCCTGCCATTTTGCTAGCAACTTGCTGTCAGAAGTTGGCAACATTACCAAAACCTTCTGGCCAGGAGCAAAACTTCTGTGGCGAGCTTTCTTGTCAAACCAAACCTTTTGGTGTTTCTGAGCAGCTGCCATGTGACTCTGAGCCAACTCACTCATTTGCTGCAGTTTATCCCTCATATGGAGAACAAATGAAATAATGTTGACTGGATCCTCTTTACTCTGATCTCCCTCCCATGCATCTCTTAGCAGGGTCAGAGGGCCCCTCACATCATGACCATAGAGGAGCTCAAATGGGGAGAAACCAGTGGAAGCCTGAGGAACCTCCCTGTAGGCAAAAAGGAGGTATGGCAACCACTGGTCCCAATCAGAGCCTGTATCATTCACAAACTTACGTAGCATTTGTTTGAGAGTTTGGTTAAAGCGCTCTGTCAGGCCATCCGTCTGTGGGTGGTATGGTGTTGTCCTCATGCTCCTGATGCCCAACAGCTTATAGACCTGTTTCAAGAGTGTGGACATAAAGTTAGTGCCCTGATCGGTTAAAATCTCCTGTGGAAATCCAACCCTTGAGAAAAATTGAACCAGTGAGGAAGCCACATGTTTTGCTTTAACAGTCTTTAGTGGAAAAACTTCAGGATATCTTGTTGCATAGTCTGTGATGACAAGCATGAAGCGATTTCCAGATTTACTTTTTTCCACCGGGCCCACTACATCCATCCCAAGGCGTAGAAAGGGTGTACCAATAATGGGAAGGGGTTGAAGTGGTGCTTTGCTAGGGACTCTCATTGAGGTTTTCTGACACTCAGGGCAGCTTCTGCAAAATAAAGCAACATCTGATCTTAAACCAGGCCAGAAAAAATATCGCTTGATGCGAGCAGTGGTCTTATACTTCCCAAGGTGGCCAGCCCAGGGAATAGAGTGTCCCAAAGTCAGCACTGTTTCACGAGCCTCCTTAGGGACAACTAACTGCTTAAACTGGCCATGTTGATGATATAAAATGCCATCTTGCAGTATATACTGCTCTTTATTTGTGTCAGATCCTACAGAGGCCTCCCTCCTAGCCTTCAGCAACAGGGCAAATAAAGTTGGATCATTCTGCTGCATTTGTCTGATGTTTGTGGGTATTGAAAAACCCAGTGGCATATCTGGAGCCACTTCAACTGAAGTCTCACCCAATGCATGTTGAAATTTCTCACGCCTTCTTTGACTGCGTGGCTTCCGAGACTTCCCAGGTTCCGTCTGCAACTCAGCCTCGAAAAAAGGTAAAGCACTAAGTGTTGCAAAATGCTCATCTTGATTTTTAGCTTGGGCTCTGGTTACAGCCACGTTACAGCTCTGCACATCCCTCAATAAGTCATAGATGACAGGCAGATCCTCCCCCAAAACTACAGGATAGGGTAGGTGATCAGCTACCCCAACCTTCAACAGATAGGGAGCTCCCTGCACCTCAACAAACATATCAGCAGTGGGGTATGATTTCTCATCACCATGTACACAGCGAACTGCTATCGTTTCAGAAGGGCATATACAATTAGTTGGTACATGGTTCTTGTGCACTAGAGTCTGTGTGCTGCCAGTATCTATTAAAGCATTTATTTCATGCCCAGCAATCTTCACTGTAATGATTTTACTTGACTGCTTTATTTCAAGTTTAACATCCACATTCTGATGAGGCACAAAACACACTTGAGTTAGCTTACTCTGATTCTTAGGGCACATGGGTTTGGTGTGACCTTCTTGTCCACAGAGGTAACACACTGGAGGCCTTTTTCCTGCCTTAGAAGGCTGGTTTTCTCCTAAAAAAGGCTTACCCCCACCCTTTGCTAGCTTCTGATGAGG